CATCACCATCACCATCACCATTGTCGTCGCCATCACCATTGTCGTTGCCATCACCATCACCAACACCATTGTCGTTGCCATCACCAACACTATTGTCGTTGCCATCACCATCACTATTGTCGTTGCCATCACCATCACCATTGTCGTTGCCATCACCATCACCATTGTCGTTGCCATCACTATCACCATTGTCGTTGCCATCATCATCACCATCGTCGTCGCCATCACCATTGTCGTCGCCATCACCATTGTCGTTGCCATCACCATCACCAAAACCATTGTCGTCACGGTTAGCACCATCATCATCAACATCGTTACCATCGACGTCATCTGCCTCATCTGGTGAGATAACATCGCCATTATCGTTGTCGCTGACACCATTACATTCAACATTATTGTCGTCATTGACACCACCACTTTCTTCTTCGTTGACACTATCAYCATCGTTGTCATCGACATCATCACGCCTATTTTCGATGGCACTGTGGTTGTCAACATCATCACCATTTTCGTCATCGACATCAATTTTGTTAATGCCATCATTATCGTTGCCACCGGGATCATCAGAATCATCTTCGTTGATACCATCATCAATACAGTTAACACCGTCATCATCATCATCAATAACAGTGAGCACCACAATTGTACAATTACCTAAAAATGATACCATTTCGCAATCGAAAACACTTCTCATGCCACAAACCTCTTCGCCACCATCTTCAGCAGAGCCATCAATCAAGGAGATATTTCTTGCTGTCTTTGATGGAAACTGTCTTGACGTAACTCCAAGGAAAAGCTTTAAAGCTGCTTTTATCGACACCCTTACAGACCTTGAGATAGCCAATCAGCGAATTGGTATATTGAACATCACATGTGGATCAATTAAGGTGCTCTTCTACATAATACACAAACGAACGAGCAATATTGCTGAGGTTTTTGATAGGTTAGTAAAGGAAGGGAAGATAAGAATTGTTTTTAAAGGAAAGACATACAGGGCATTAAGTATAACGTCTCTCCACCCAACAACAACACGCCCAACGACATCATCTCCCTCGTTTATCAACCCTACAGTCATTGTTTTCACAGCACAAATCAACGAGAAAAGACTAGTAAAAATTGTGTTTGTCTTGTTTGTGAGCTCCTTTGGAGCACTGGCACTGTTTGGGGTAGTGATTTGCATTGCTCGAATTTATGGACGACAAAGATATGCAAGACTAAGACTCAAAAGCAATACCCTATCATCACGAGGAACGAACCAGATTTATAAGAAYGAGCTAGAGCTCATTCGCATGTCGCCGCTGCACCGGTATGCAGATTATTATGGCGGAACAAACCAGGACGCCCCGAAAGAGGAGTCAGATGAGGAAGATAATATCAACAATAGAACAGCTTTGCTAAATATGTTGAGAAATGGCGAAATTGCATCTAGGAGAGGAAAAATCATGGTCAAAGATGATGATTCTTACTCAAGTATTGCTTTCTACTGAAGTATAGTTTACAATAGTGTATCGATTGGTGGGAGACCATGACCACATATAGACCCCTTGCAGCACATTGGAAGGCTGCTCAATTTGGAGGACATAATAATAGGTTTCCAATTCACTCATGAGATTGAAATTCTTTTGTTTTGTCCTCTATTGAGCTGCTTTGACATAAAGGTCCTTTTTTCACGAGGGTAGCACTTAATAGCCAGTTGCTAACAAACCTGTGGCCCTCATTCCGTGTTTGAATTGGAATTTAGGAGTTGATTTTTGTGGAGGGAGGAAAACTGGAGAACCTGGAAAACCCTCGAAGCACAGCAGAGAACCAACAAACAACTCTACTCACATACAACACTGAACCCRGCGGGACTCGAACTCGGGTCGCATTGACGAGAGGCGAGCGCTCACACCACTACGCCACCCGTGCTTCCCAAGGGGTGCAAGGGGTCTATTGAGAAACATGCAAGGCCATGTSATGTGACATGTGGTGCACATTATTGGTCATTGTTTCCTATGACTGGCTCATAAATTCTAGAGGAAATATCAAACAAGTTTTAGGGGTACTATGTCTTACAATGGGGACATCAAAGCTCTCCAGTGATTAACCTCACCCCCCCCCCTTTTCCTATTTCTGTCCATGCTATTCCCTTGAGTATTATGCCTTTAGTTTACCAGTGAGACTCAAACAAAGGATCTTATTCAAAAGGGAATGACAGTACACATGGCTAGAAATGGGAAAACAGTAGGCTCTATATCTATAATGGTATTTTAAAATGTGTATGTAATTAGGGATACTAGAGCATGACACCCCCACCCCTCCCCCCTCCTCCTACTACCCTTACAAATTAATGGCCAGTCACTTTTGCAGACCTAGAAATATGACAGAAGAGAGAAAATAATCAAAAACAAGTTGTGTTTGCACACACTAAAAGTTAGCTCTAATCTAATGTCAGGATAGTAGGCAAAAAGGGAAGAGATGAATGAAAGCATAGATAGTTAAAAAACAAAGAAGCTTGAATCTTTTGGAAATTCAAAAAGTGTAAAAATTATTTGAGGTTTCTTTTTATCATATGTGTTAAGCAAACCTTGGAATTTATTTCAAATAAAATAACGTATAAAGATTTTCAAAAGCTCAAAAAAGCACYTTTTAACCTCCACCTGAAACAATTAGAACTTTGGACAAGAAATGTTTTCATGAAGAAAAAGTAAGATAAATCTTAATAGAACTGCTTTTCATTTTGGACCTGGAAGTCATTATTCCATACCATTGATGTCACACTTAAACCACTATGCCTTCAAGCACCTTTTAAATAAGCCGTGAATTTTAGAATTACCAGTATTAGTTAATTTTGGTTTCAAAGAGAAATATTTGCTTGTAAAAAAGTAAATACCACTAGATATTATTTATGGCATATTATTATTATTGTTAAAATATCGTTATGTACCATTATAGAGTTATTTATGAAGTATAGTAGATTCAAAAATTGCCATTTTACATTAATTTAATCCTGCCCAGTGATGATAGGCAGTTCATAAAAAATCTTTTTTCTACTGGGTGCGAGTTTAATAATTCATTCAGTAATTTCCTTGTTTTCTTGTGGGGGAGGGGTTGGGAAGGGGTAAGAAAACAGGAAAATTATGAGTGAATCATTATCGAAGAAATAGAAAACATGCGGTGTGCTGTGTGCAGTCATAAAGCATACAGGATTTGGCAGAAAAGTGTTTCATGACTGCATACAGCACAGCAAGCAAGTTTATTTTTTTATTTTTTTAAAATACGAATTAGAGTAGGTCATTTTTGGACACAAAAGACAAAATAAAACTTGTGCACATGTGTACTCATAATGCATGCATGTCCAACCAATYAGAGTGCACGATTTATCACGATTATTATTTTATAAGAGATCATAATGAACAGACACAAGCCGGGCTTCCTGTGTAGCAACTAATTTTGACAGAACGTCTCGTCGGTCAAAGGGTAACAAAGAAAGGCGCGGGAAATCCTCAATCTCTGAATAAAATTTATTCCGACATTTACACACATCAAATATTCGGCTTATTCTTATAAAGAAAAACTTAAATTAGTACGCAAAATACTTATCGCGAAGAAAATTAACATCATAAAGACTCAAACTTCATTCCTAATTTTAGATTTCCGGTCGTATTTGGGAACGACCCACACAGAACTGACTTCAGGCTTACTCCAAGCTTCACTCATGTAAAAAAGACGTAGAAGATGTAGATGTAGAAAAATTAGTTTTTTACAATTTCTCTTCTTTCTCTGTGTAGAGAATATTTCATATTTCAAAAGGAGCTTTGAACGGAGTCATGACTAAAGCTCTGATCAACGCTACCATCTACACTTGCAGAACCGTCATGGATTTGAGGTAAAATCGGAAAAGATTTTGACCTACCTGTATTGCATGAATCTCTAGCATCCCATCCCGACCAAACCTGACCTTCTTAGTCTATCTAGAGTTTTTTCAGAACAGTTTACAAGCGTCAAAGCTGTCAAGTGAGTTACTCTAGTTTCGATCAATGAATGACATTCCAACGTGAAAACCAACCAATCATGAAGCGACTTGGACACGTGCGACCTCTACGCCCCTTGACGTGTTGGTGTCAAATTTAGATTTTTTCTTCAAATATAAATTGTCAATTAATTTTTTTAGTTTTTCTATTACAGGATATTATCGGTATTTTCTATCTCCAACTTGCTTTCTAAATTGCATGTTTTACTTTGAAAGCTTAAATATCTAAAAAATACAATAAAAATAGAAATGTATAATCAGAGACTAAGAGAAAACACAAAAACACGTAGGAAAATATAGAAAAATACTATCTTTTAATCGAAAAATAAATCTACAATTTAAAATCTACTTGCATGAAGATGAGTTAGTTTTTAGTTACACCCCATCCTCCCCTCCCATTGTCATTTATGGATTGAAGACAAGTTACAATGGTCAGCAGCATCCCAAAGAAACATGGCGCTCCAACATGGCAGATCACAACAAAGAAATCGATAGCAAGTTTTACATCTTTTTGCCTCATTTAGCCACATCGAATCCCGTATCCGACATAGACAAAGGACCGCGCTTTTCATGCTTCGTGGGAGAGCTACTAAACTTCTTTCTGATCGCTCAATTTCGTGGGAAAAAACGATCGCCAAGCGAGAGCATTAAACTGCACGAGTGGCAAGAACGACTCCTTGGGCTCAGTACATCTGTTAGCGTGAACTGTGTGGAACTAGCCATCCATAAAGGACACGATGCCCTTGCTACTAGCAGCTTTATTTCTTGCTCACCCACAAGCACCTCGAGAATTAAAAGTGGTCCAAGTCAGGAGTTAACCGAGGTAGGATAGGCTAAGCGCGCAATTTTTTACTATGAATCACCTAAAGGTGTAGTGATTTACTAGAGACTTTTGAAATTTATTTTACCAGCTTTATTTCAGATTTTTTTCCTCCAAAACATTTATAGCTTAATATGTTATCTCATACCTAGATCTTGTTTAGATTTTAACAATAATCGATTCGTATTTTCAAGTGTAATACTTTCACGCTTGATCATTCGAATGAATGGTCGAGTTCCGAATATTCGTTCACCACGAGACATCGGGCCGGCAACATGGTTAAACCACAGCAAGGTCTCCCACCTACCTGCCTGAAAACAATGATTCAAAAGATCGAGTCGTGGTTTCTATTATTCTAGAAAATCCATAGAGCGACCGTAACCAGGAGATTAATACACACACTGTTTCATTTGCATATGATAAAACCAGCTGTCTCTGTGGCGAATAAAATTAGTATATAAAAAAAATCAAGGTCTTCTTCTCAGCAACAAATTCTTCTATCTTCGCTAGGAATATTGTTTTGTAGAGCAAGTATTTTTGAATTTTGGAGAACTGCATCAGACTTTTTAAGATTATTATGATTTTTTTAGTTACATTTTCATTCAAAAAAATCAGTGTAAAATATATAGGATTTAAATAAGTGATTGATGTATGATCGCAAATCCTATGTAGTTTACAAACAACAACTGATTGTCAGTTTAGGAAGTAATAAAACGCTTAATTGATATTGAGATTATTTCTAGGTGTGTAGAAAATGTCCCTACTGTACCCCACAGAGGGCATTAAAATTGCTTGGGGGGAGGGAGGGAGGGCCAGAGAAGAGTATATTCGAGATTTATTTTTGGTGACTAATCATTATCCATGCTTGTTTTTAACACATTTCTGGGCATTCTAAGGATAGGGAGGTCTAGCATTGAAAATAGACCTCCTCGGCTTGGGCGTAATGTTTTCCCATTTCAGACCATGTGTCATTATCTAGAGTATAATTTTTTTTGTTAAATGGATGTGCATGAGAAGACACATGAATATGGATACAACTCAAACAAGGAATCTTATTCTCAAGGGAGTGACAATTAGTGGCCTGAAATGATAAATTTTAAGCCCACATTTTCAGGATCAATTCCAGTTATCAGTAAGTTACTCCCAGTGTGAACCCCTCCTGATTTTACTTTTTTCTCCACAGGATCTCAAACCTCTAGTCACAAGCCAGGGGGATATCATCTACCCACTTAATGTATCTCTTGACGTCCTACCAGCATTAAGTAGACGAATAAAGCTGTCTGTTAATGTATGGACTCCTGAGCTTAATGCCGAGGCCAAAGTCAATACTCAGTCAYTGTGGAATGACTACTATGATATATTTGTTTATAATGATCCYGATGAGATATTAAATGAGGTTCAGAACACATTTCGATGTCATGGTAAGTAACGTCAATATCATGGTATTGAGTCTAACGTTCTCAGGTGCTTGGAAGTTTCTTTTTAAAAATAAAGGGGAGCTTAATCTGGATCGAGGGGCTGCTCACAGTCTAGTGGAATGGAGGGAGTACTAGCTCTTGAACAAATAGATGAGCAAAGGTGGTAGGTTAATCAGGCACTGAAGAAGAATTGGGGATCGATGTAGGGAATTTAGCCTCTYGCCCCACCCTCTCTCCCAAAAACAATTCTCGAAGTTGTGACAATAACTATTAAAATATATAGTAATAACACTTTATCCCATCCACCCTTTCCCCAATCAATTGTAGGACCTTCTGTAAAATTTCGTGATCTATATTTCCAGTGAATGCTACTCTACCAGTAATATCACCACCAACTGTGCRCTGTAAATATAACTACATCAGTAACAAACAATATGTGGCTTTAGAAGGTAAGAGTAAATAGCCGTCTCTCATGCAGCAGCCATGTTACCTGGAATATTAGTTTTTTATTCCTGTAGTCTTACAATCGATACCTGTACCTTGACATAAAATAATAGTTTTTATCCAAGTGGGAATAGGCATGGCCATTGTATGAGAAGGTCCATAAGGATCAGCTACAATTTGTGAGCAAATTTGAATATATATTAAATCTGAAAAACTGAAATTTTCGTATACAGACCTTTCGGAAATATGAACATGTATTTGAATAATTAGTTTTACAATAAAAGATGCAAATACAAAATTGAAGTAATAGTTGTAAAAATCATGTCTTTTAACAGTAATAAACAGTCTAGGAGAACCAGTATTACTCCATCAAGCCAGCGTTCATCCAAGCTGCAGCACTCTCTACAACACTTCAAACAAATTACATAATCAAAGGTTTGTCTATAATTTTTATATTCATATTTTAGATTGTTTGATAGACTACTGGCACTAGCAGGTCACCTAACCCTACCCCCTAAAATGTGCAGTTGTGTCAAACAAACACCAGAAATAAAAAGAGCACCTCAATATTATTTTGTAAGAAGTAAGAGTTTTGGTAACATATTTGCTTGCCATGCATACCCAATCGCAATACTTTTTTACCATACAAATCCTTAGAAAATATTCAATAGCACATTTAACCTCTGTCTACGACCAGAGTCCTTTGTACACTTTTTTCTTTTTCTTTTGTTTGGTTAATCAGCACCAATTGTCTTACTATTCTTATGAGGGAATACAAGGAAATTCCCAAAGCATTATGGAAGTGGAGTCATATGATGCCATCTTACAAACGTCCTGTTTTATATTTAATGCAATTTCTCCTATTATAGCTTTCATTATGAGCTGAAACTCTTCAACCTTACTAATATTAAGGTGCTCTTTTAATTTGTGGTATTCTTTTTTTTTTTTTTTACGCTATGCCTTAATTTAAGGGGATATCGACGAAATAATGTGCAACAGGTTATTTTCAGGAGCTGTGACAT